GGATGCATTTCTTGGTGATGAGCCTCTCTTCTCCTCTCTGAGAGTCTTTAGGGACCTCTATGAATCCTCAGCTTGAGATCTCAGAGAGCACTGGAGACAATGTGTGAGAAGTTTGTTCCCCCAGGGGCTCTCCCTCTCTTTGCTCTTCTCCAGTCCCCCAGCCACCAACCTTTACCACATTGATATTCCCTCCACTGTGTGTCCCCAGCTCCATCTTGTTAGGCCACTGGGCTCCTCTGGAGACTCTGGAACTTTCTGTCTCTACAGTTTTAAACTGATTGTCATTCCTGCAAACTGAGTTCATTTTATGAGTATAAAAGTAAAGTAATGTATCTCTCTTTATTGATAAATATGCGTAAGAAGGTAAATGTTAAATGTTTAACTACTAAACAATTCATACAAGTATACACATATAATATAATATAATATAATATAATATAATATAATATAATATCCAGCCAATATGCAGACATTAATATTTTAAGAATCAATAGAATAAATTTAAGCAAAAGTGGAAAAAAAAGTTCGTCATAACTGTTTTATTATTTAGAAAAGTCCTCTCATGTGGCTATCTTTTCAAAAAATACTCTAGATATTTATTTTGTGTTTTAATAATTTTTTTGCCTTTTAGTGAGAATACCAGTTAATATTCATTTTCATATCTTACAGTGTGAGGTTACATGCACTTCAAATTAGCAATGCTATTTAAGTCAAATTAGAGACTGAAGCAACAGTTTTATTATAAAATTAAATATCTTGAACTAAATTTGTTCACAAATATTGTTCTTGAAAAATAATATTAAATATTTCAATTCTTTTATTCTTCAAAAGCATGGAACACATATTCATTTGGATGGACATTTATTATGTGTTAGTTGCTGAACATGGCAAGTCAAATAGGCATGAATTCTTTTCTCTGGAACATTCTGACAAATGCTGAGAAGCTGTATGACAGGAAAGCCAAAAAAAGTCCTCCAATAGCTAGAAATGCTTAGAGCAACCCTTTTCTGGGTCCTCTCCCATCAGTAGCTGTCTCTCCCTCAGTACAATTTCCTATTCTGAAAGAAAGAAAGAAAGAAAGAAAGAAAGAAAGAAAGAAAGAAAGAAAGAAAGAAAGAAATGCTCAATGAAAGCTAATAGAACATTGAGAAGCTCAGTTTTAGAAATAACTTTGAAAAATAAAAATTTTACACACACACTTTCATTCTGACACTGAGAACAAGGCCCAGAGACCTTTTCCACTAAAAAAGGAATTACAAGTTTATATTAAAATCAATGGAAAATATAGTATGTATTAATGATAAAGTTTACCAGAATGAGCACTGCTTCATTGATGGGATGATTGAGCATTACTTTAAAATCTACCCTCCCTTACAGAGTGAAACATATGTCACATGTATTTTCTTGTCTTTGGTTGGTTTGTATTGTCTGGCTCTTCTCCTGTGTCATCAATATCTAATGTACTTGCACTTCTGTTTGCCTATTCTGTTATACACTGAGTAGAGGATTTGCTTAATTATTCAAACTAAGGTCACAATTGATTAATCTTATGTAAATGGTAGGTCTGAAGTCTTATACTTCGTGTACAAAGTACAAATTGCCCCTTAAATATCTGGGGGTTTTGGTCCAATTTAGGAATCACATTTAAATGGCTCAGTTATGGTGTAGGAGAGATTTGACATTAGATGTATTCATTTCTCATTGGTAACTAAACTGAGTGATTTGTTTATTGAGTCATTCATTTATCTTTTGTTTTGTTTTATTTTTGAGTATAATACATTCTATGTGTAAGACATGGCTTCTCTCTCAGGAAATTCATATTCTAGCGCTTCTCTCTGACCACCCAGGCATTATTCACATATCTTGACAAAACTCTTGTCTCCATCCACATAAATCAAGCACTTTCGATAATTGTACATATTATCCTGAAAATTTAAATGTAATATATAATGAAGAAAATTATTTTATTCTTCTGAGATTTCTCTTCTAATTTGATAGGATGTTTTAGTAAATGTATACAATTTGAACATTTTATACATATATACTCATACATGTGTTTGTAAAATATTCACAGTTCATTTTTAAATTTATATATTACCGTAGTTAGCATTTGTAGGCATGTGCATACAAATATCTATATCTATATATCTATATTTATATCTATTCAGACTATCTGAGATTTATCTTTCTTCTTGGAAAATGTCATATATATAAAACATCATTATTAACTGTTTTATAAACATGCTTTACATGAATCGCCAGAATTTTTTTACCCGGTATAACTGAAAATTTGTGCCTTTTGATGTCACTTCTTTTTCTCTTCCTCAGCCCCGCTAGAAATCAGTATTGTATTGTCTTCTTTCATGAGTTTGACTATTTCAGATTTTATATTTAAATGAGATTAGATAGTATTTCTCTTTCTGTATCTTATTTATTAGGCTTAGCTTCCTCCAGTGGGCAAAAATACGAGGTTTTCATTCATTTTAAGGCCAAGTAGGGCTGGAGAGATAGCTCAGTGGCAAAAGAACCTGCCTGACAGGCGGCACATCCTGAGTTTGATCCCAGGTGCCAGAAAAAACAATTCTCTCAAGGATAAATAATACAGGTTGAGGATCTGTAATTGAAACATCCAAACCTGAAATGGGACAAAATCTGAAAAATTTGAACACCAACCTAACAATGTGAGAGGTCATAGTGAAATTTCAAAATTTAGACACTAAAAATAATGTATAAATTATCTTCTGATAATGTATGTCAGATATATATGAATCAAATGAATTCCATGTTTCAAATGGAATTTTAGACCTGGGATATCTCATAGTATCTATGCAAATATTCCAAAATAAAATTTAGTCTGAAATCTGAAACACTTCTGACTCCATCAATTTTGAATAAGAAACACTCAATCTGTATTTTTGTGTGTGTGTATGTGTGTGTGTGTATGTGTGTGTGTGTGTATACCTAAGATTTTTACCCACCTATTTGAAGGACCTTTAGGTTATTTCCAAATTTTGGTTATTATAAATAATGTTGCTGAGAAGATAGGTGTATGTTTCTCTTTGAAATCCTGTATCCACTCTTGGGAGTGATAAATAATATGATGGCTTTGTTTTTATTTTTTCATGATGCTGATAAGTTTTTCTTGAACCTTAAATACGGATTTCACTAATCAGTGGTTTGTGGAGACTTAGGACAAGTGACTGGGGGTTGGGAGTATATGTGAGGTTGTTCATGATTTGAAAACATTAAGTTTGTATGACTTTAGAAGAGTGACTCAACAATTCAGCTTTGAAGACAAGTCATACTGTTAAATGTACAAAATATAGCTTACTTTCTATTTTTGTACATATAAATAGTACTTAAAGTACTGAAATTAATTTGAAGTTTTGAACTGAAAATGAACTAAGGCATGTATTATCTGTTCTAATCAATTCATTTTAAATATAGAGAAACTAAAGAACAGAGACTAAGAATTATTATAATTTTCTGTAATTTATTCAGAGCTGGATGATTTGTATAAGTAACTTGGAAAATCCAAAACCTATATCCAGCATTGTTAAAAATGAATTTAGTACTCTCTTCGTTGTGTAAAATCCAAGTGTTTTGTTTTTGTTTTTCCTACATCAGTGGTGATTTTTTTATTATTGTTCATTTACTTTTTTGGTAGGACTTCTTGGTTTCAGAAGAGGAAGAAGGGTGATTTAGTGACTTTCTCCTTCTTAGCACCTGATATGTTGCTTATGCAGTCATTCATGTTGATCCTTTTAAAAGTAGAAAACACTACAGACAAAATTCCTAGGGTCTTATGAAACATGGAGGCATCTGAAGAGCAAAATTTATTCTTTTAAGTACAATAGTATTTAATAATTCATGGAATAAAGTGACATGAGAATTAACAGATCACTAGAAGAGAGGAAGAGCTTTGTTTCAGCATGAGAGTCAAACCTATTTTAAGCTGCTTTTCAAAACCAAAAGTAAACATTAGTTAAAAAAATAAGCACCAAGAAAAAAGTCATTTTTAATATCTCCTGTTTTTGGGAATAAAGACTTGAAGTAAAAAAAAATAAAGTAATGAAGATAGCAGATTAACTTTTACACTTGTATTGTGTTGAGCTTCTGAATGTCCCTGTCGAATCTGGACTCTTTAACGGTGTTTTAGATGACAGTATATTAACATCAGAAAATATATGGCATTGACTACCTTTACATGAAAACGATAGAAATTAAAAGTATATATTCTCACAATTATATCAACTGTAAGCCTTCAGAAGTTTGTGTGTAGTAGTGTTTTTACTGTGTTTGAAAAATACATGTCTCATACTTTATGTTTATGTATAGGTTTATTACCCAAACCACAAGAAATTTATATCATTAGAAAAATCTCTAGGAAATAATTTTTCTAATCTTACAGAAATGCAAGTGCAACAATAAGTGAAAAACCCCTACATTTTTAGAGCTTAGTATTATCACAAAGTTTTACATGTAGAAAATATGTGTGATCTTGAAGGTTCATTATGGAAATGTTAGTAAAATCTTACAGATAGAGTATTTCTAAGTCATATACCTTTCTAATATTGCTCATGGTAATTATACTTTTTGTGCTATTACTTACTGACTCAAGTTATCAAGAACACTTTGTTTGTAGAATGCATTAATGCTAGATACATATTCATAGAGATTAATTTGTTAAAGGGATCATTTTCTGTAATATTGTGACAAAATTTTAATTAAAAGAAAACAGCTACTAGCTGACTATAATAGCAAGCATATTTGTGTTATGAAGAAAGATCTTTCTTTTACATATATGAGCTGAGCTGTATAAATGTGTTATTTATAACAGTTTTCTTTTGAATCTGTGTCACTCTGGGAAGTAGAAATCTATTTATAGCTTGATCTCTGTTTTAATCCTACTTTGCTTTTGATTTTCTGGTTTTCTAAATTAAAGGACCAAAGTCAGTATGTGAAAGATACTATCTTCAATTTAAAGGTTTTAATGGTAGTCAGGAATTGTTGGACTGCATAGTTTTCAAAAGTTTCTGGTACATTTCTGATTTCAGAAATCTGGGATAGGAATCCATTTCCATATGCATATATACTATTTTTTGAGCCTCTTCAAAACACGTCTGAGTGGGTTCTTGAATGTTCTTGATGATAGTTTCTCTTGTAGAACTGTCAATATTAATCTGAAAAGTGAAATTACATGTAGAGCATGAGTAGGCATTACTAAAAATAGACACTTACAATAGAAAAGCTTAATTTATTCCCCTTGCTCTTTAGTGAATTTGGAGAGTTCGTGTTCTGTTTCCAGTTATGTAAGAAGAATTATAAGCTTTTTGCAGTGAATATTGTATCCACCTTCACATCCTAGAAGAATAAAGAAATCTCGAAGTCCCAGACCAGGGAAGTTTCAGAAAGCATTACGCATTAAGGCAGATGGAAGTGGTTTGTTAGTGGTAGTCTCCAAGCAAGGAAGTTTGTGGAATGAAAGTCTCTTTTTAAGGAGAGAGGAACTTGGTGCTATTTATAAACTTACCTTTCTTCAGAGTAACAAATGTGACTATGGCCAGAAGTAGAAATAAATTGAGAAGTGAATAAATAAAGGGGAGAAGTGGTTAATTTAGTTGACCCAAAATTTTCCATGTAAGTTAGGGGGAATAATATTTGACTACCTTTAATAATAGAAATCTTATTCATCATCCTCTCTTAACAGAACTTCCAGTCTTCACATTTTCTCTTCTGGGATTGTTGCTCAAATTTGTTCATTTGTGACTATTTTCTTTAGGTAGATGGACATCACTGGCAGTAATGCTGAATGTCTGCTCGTTTTATAGGATGGTGAGAGGTTAATCCCTGGCTGTGGTGACCAAATACTCAGCACCGCTGGCGATATGTGCATGACTATTTATGGTATTTTTTACTTTGTGCTGGCAATAACAGTTCTTCTCAGTATTGCCTTTTTTCTTACTTTCCTAGGACTTGGGAATTAAGATAATTTAGTGAGGAAAGCTGTAGGAGCCCAACAGCCAAGTTTAAGTTCTGATGTTGCTATGAAACAGCTGTATGACACTGAGTTAGTTAACATCTCAGGTTCTCAAATTTCTTATCTGCAAAATGTTAGCAAGCCTGAATTTTATAACATTTGAGGAGATACTGAGATGTAAAGAGACTCGTATGTATGCATATTTGACATATTAGTGCCCTCCGATGGTTGTACTGCTTTTCATTTCCCATGATTGTTACCTCTCTAGGGGACTGTGGCTGGATGTAGATCTTATACAGCTTCTTGGCCCTAGAAATTCTGCTCCACCGTGAGGCCATTTTCTTGTAAGTTTCACATGCCATCCAGAATTTAATATTCTCATCACTGTGCTCCAATTTTAAATATGCCGCGTAGACTACTGGACCATCTAAAAGCAGAGAAATCAATTTATTCCCAACAGTTCCAGTTGTCAAAACATGTGAGCAATATTTAATTCTGTTTCAAACAAAAGTCTGAGTAAAAGTTTCTAACCATTTAATAAGTGAATATGTGTATATGTCTATCACACTTTTATCTACACATCCGTGGCCACTGTCGGCCACTTGTAAGGTTATCCCATTATTCTCACACACTTGGTCGGGAAATATTCACCAGTGGATGGTCTCTGATTACCAATGTAGATGGTCCCACTGTCAATACAGATGGACCTGTACCTGATAGGGCAAGAGACAGCACAAGGATGTAGAAAAAATTAAACTGGACAGGTAGACGAATCTTTGATCGGGGAATTACTTAATCAAAGACTTCACATCAAACTGGTAGATAAGAGTAGAGTTTAGATTCTAAACAGACAAGCATAGTTTGGTAGGAAACTGTCAAGTCACATAGGAGTGGTACTCTGGTTAGCTTCAAGTGCTTCTCAGTGTACATTCAGAAGACTATGGACAGATGAAAAACTGAACTTCATGTTCATAGTTTATATTTGAAAGCAGAAATAATGACCAGGTAAGAAAATTCAAAAGACTGTTGCAATTTTTTTAAAAATTTTTTAATTTTTTTTATTTTAGGGAAGGGTATTCAGGGTTTCACTACCAGATCGGACTTATAGTGATCTGACTGTTTGCAGATGCTTTAATCCACTGGACTATTTGGCCAGCCCTGAGTGTTTGAAATTATCTGGAAATCTAGTACAAGATGGTGGTTAGGCTTAGCATACCCATCAAGTGACACTTGAGGCTGAGACAGCTATCCTTAGCTCTGGTCTTAAGCTGTCTTTCTGAAGTGGGCAGATAAAGACAAAGGAGGAAGGAACTTTGCTCACCGACACACAGTTTTATAGGAACTTTCATTTGAAGGAGAAATTTAGGCAAAACTTTCATAAATTTAACACAGCACAATCTGTAGGAAGGACCAAATAGCCTCAAGGTTCAAAATGAATTAGTTGAAATAAATTTTAAACCTCTTCTAGTGACTATACATTCTCCTAGCATATCTGAGAAATGGAATCGATAAAAGTAGTTTTTAAGGATTTGATAGAAGTATGGATATAGTCACACTGAATGTGACTTTGAGAATAATTGTTAGCATAGAATTTTTCTTTTATGAAAAGCAGAACATAATTTAATGTGCATAACTTGATGCATTTGAAAGTAATATGTACCTATAAAATTATCACCACAATCAATTCTATATACATCTACCGACTCTACATCAAAGGATATTTGTTAAAAAAGATCTTAATCAGTGTCATTAGCTGCTATGAGAAATAATCGTCATCAGGTGAAATGCAAATGAGTAAAACCACATTTTCTTGGGTCATCACATGAGAGAGTAAAGTTTTAGAAAGTCAGGATTCTTGACTCCTTAGTTTCTTTTCTTCTTCTTCTTCTTCTTCTTCTTCTTCTTCTTCTTCTTCTTCTTCTTCTTCTTCTTCTTCTTCTTCTTCTTCTTCTTCTTCTTCTTCT